ACACACACACTCACACAAAATTTTATTTCTGAGTTGAAGAGAACTGGCAAGAATCCCATAGTGTAATCTTTTAGACATTTCACAAACTAGAGCTACACTAATTAAAACACAAGCATTTCTCCCCTTGTATTTGCTTCAAAGGGCAAATCATGAAGTCCTAAAGAGAAGAATATATTTTCTAAGCCACAGAATTGCCTTTTCTGCAAGTAAACTATACATAAACAGTAAACTGTCTATAAACCTAGAATCCAGTTCATCTTTTCATCCATCCACAAATGAACTAAATGTTTACTCTTTGCAAGGTCTTCCTTGAATCTGATCATTGAATTTCATCTACTCCATATTTATTGGGAATCCTATGGGCTCCTTCCAACTTTGTTCTGGAGTCTCCCATTCCCTTTTATCATGTCTAACTACTGTACTTCCCATTTCTTGCTTCTTTGGATCTTCATTCCCCTGACTCACCCCCTGGAACAATCCCTCCATCTTTCCATTTAGTTAGGCTCTAGAATCCCACTCCAGTTTTCCTAGGACAGGGCTGACTAGGGACAAGAAGCATACTCCAAATGTTCCTCCAGCCATAAGGAAGCAGTATGGGGAGAGGTGACTCTCTGGAGTCTAATCCTATCCATGTTTGGGCTTCAGGAAACCTTAGCAATGACCAGCTACTGGACAAGCCTGTTAGTACAATCTGCTCCAACAGCAAAGTATGCCCCAGGCTGGGAACTCTCCTTGGAATTCACTCTTATAAAGGACAAGATGGAGAAGCAGCGTGTGTTTTTTGGAAGCTCTTAATTTAACAGGAAACATAACCCTGTGTCTCTGTGAATGGCAACTGGCTGTGAAGCATGTTGTGAGTATTGCCCGTTTCCACATGACACATCCTAACAAAATATTTATCCTGATTAATCCTGAGCAAGGGCAGAAAGAGAGCCAAGACATCAACCTCTCTGCAAGCCCTTCTGTGACTCACAGGCCAACAGACTTGTGTACTATTCCACTCAATGCCACAAACTAATCAACTGCCCTGCAGTTTCATCAACAATGTAACAGAAGCTGTCATGCATTTTTCCAGAAAAACCCTCAGTGGCACCATTGCTCCTTGTAATAATCTGTCAAAGGCCCTATCTTCCAGCTTGCAAAACTACTTAGTGGAGCATGAAGGCTTCCTTGGGTTATTAAATTACGCTGTTACCAGTCCCTTGCTGTTTCTGTGTTTTAATTTTGTCTTTGTACCTTGAGCAGGGTTACTGGGAAGGGAGTAGTTGATAGATTTGTGACATCGGTCTTTGGAGTGAGAGAGCGAGAGTCTGCTCACACCCTTGGCTGTCTTCTCCCTCCACCTGTTCTTCTCAGGCAGAATCTCTTCTGAGTCCCTCTCTGCTTAGGTGCAGATTCTATCTTGCTGCCCTCACCCACATGGCTCAATGCTTGCACAATGTTTAAGAAAATTTGTCTTTAAATCATGCTGCTTGGAAGGACAGAAATACAACTATTCAAACATACAAAATGCAAGAGAAATGCTGAGCACAGAAGAAGCAGGATATTAGATCCACAGAGATCAAGGTCACAGGAAGCATGCACTGTTGGGATAATCTTTTTATACACTGTGTAAAGTTGTGTCTCTGTTTTATCTCACCTGCCTAAGGCATCTTCTGATTGGTTTAATAAAGAGCTGAATGGCCAATAGCTAGGCAGGAAGAGGACAGGTGAGACTTCCAGGCAGAGATAGGAACTCTGAGAAAAAATCTCAGGCAGGAGATTTGCTAGCCAGACATGGAGGAAATGGGACACACGGTACCAGGGAGCAGTAATAAGCCTCATGGCAGAACATAGGTTAATATAAACAGGTTAATTTAAGTTTTAAGAGCTAGTTGGGAACAAGGCTACACTAAGGCCAAGCTTTTATAATTAATAAAGAGTCTCCATATCATTATTTGGGAGCTGGTGGTCCAAAGGAAGACCTGTTACAATGCACAGTTTAGAACCTAATGGTTCTAAAACTCACTGTACATCACAACCCTTGGTTAACTCACCCTAGGCTCCTTCGTCAGTGGGTTTGGGCAGGATCCTAAGAGTTTGCATTTCTACTAAGTTCCATATGCCACCATTGATTCAAGGATCCCACTCTGAAAACTACTGGGCTAATCAGATTTAAGTTTGACTTTCCATTATTTGTTATCTTAAACATTTACCTGTTGTTCCCATTTTTATCCCTTCTGTGGGTTTTCCAGCAATATGCCATGAGAAAACCCAGTGGAAGAGATTTGACTCTATATTTATAATCTAAATGGATTCCTGTGTTTCCTCCATCCTTCCCAGAAGCATTTCCTTGGATCCTTGACTATGACTTACCAACTCAATGAAAATGTTCACTCCGTTCCTGTGGAAAAATCCGGAGGGAACCTGGAAGGCCACTGCCAGTGTGGAGAGAATCCTTCCCAGCACACATTTTTTCCAAGCAGCTGGCTAGTGAAAACTGTTCCCAAAAAACAGGAACAGGATACCTGCCCCCCACCTCAAGGGACAGAGCCCATAGGAAAGGCATGTCTCACTTACCTTAGCACAAACTCAACTGTGTTTTCAGGTCAAAGCTTCTATATGGAACATGAGGTTCTCTACATCAATGGCACTAATTGCCCATCTGACTAATTCCTATGACAGCAACCATTAACAATGTTCCTCCAGGAACATCAACTATAGGCTAGAAAGAAAGGTCTGCATGAAACGCCTTCTCCTGGCTCCCTGCTCTTCCCATCTCCCAGACCCCAGTCAAAGAGAAGGTAGTTGCTCACTGTTTCGGGGCTTGTCTTCATCCATGCCCTCATCCTCGTTCTCAGGGTCAATGTCTTCTGCTTGGGTGATCCAATCCAGGTAGCCTTTGAGATCTTCTTCTAGCTGCTGCTTCTCTCGAAGCTTCTGGAAATCCCCCCGAGCTTTGGCTTTCTCCCTCTCTTTGGAAAACTCTCTAGTGTGAGAGGGAGGGGAGGGGAGGGCAGGGCAGCACAGAGAGTCCATCCGGGAGGGAAGATGGAGAGAAGGGGAGACAAGGCAGGTATTAATTGCTTTGTGCGGAGAACCCTTTCCAAATCACCCCCTTTCTACAGACAGCTACCTCCAGCACCCAGTTCTGTCTTCACTCCCACAAGAGCGGGGAGCACTGAGAGCATGCCCTTGACACAGGCTGGGAAAATCTATAGGGATGAGGGTTGTCCATTCACTTTCTAGATCGTAATAGGTTTTGCCTGTGAATAACAGCTATTCTCCAAAGATCCGGAGACCCCTTCCAGTCACTCTACTGCCCCTCTACAACAAGGAAACACGTGCCACCCAGGATTAGGTCATACCTTTTTTAAAAAATGACAAAGCATCTTCAAATGACACAGATTATTAGGACCCAGTGATGACAGAGCCCACTTACTTGTACTGGGTCTCTAAGCCAATAATGCCTTCTTTTTCCAACTCTGGCTTCAGTGATGTCTCCTTGATAGTATGATAACGGCTAAGTTTGGAATATTTACACCATGAAAGCTAGCCAATGCAATTAATTGATCAGGGCATTTCCCCACAGAAGGGCAGTAAATTTTTACCAGTACCCCCATTGTCTAGGGGTCCAGTAGGTTTGATCTCTTCAATCTCTGTCCTCATGGCTACAATTCACTCTACAGTTCTTAGCATGCCTGGAGGGAATTCAACCCACATGGATACCCATAAGGATTCCAAACACAAGAAAATACCCTGGGGCCTGCTATTTGGGTTAAAGCAATCTATCCAGGATAGAAAAATATGTAAAATGCAGATGGTATCAAAGTTAATGTTGCAGTTTAAAGCAATAACAGATATTGTAGTTTGCTTGGGACTTGCTAGAAGAAAGAACCATAGAGGACATTCTTATTTGTCTCTGACATAGTCCTTTTCTCTAGCTCTGAATTCACTTTAAGCAAGGCTAGGGCTTGGAGCAGAGGCAACGACAGATAAGTTAGTTCCCAGGTGCCATAGCGGGTGTGAGCCCCTTCTTTCTATGGGTAGCAGGAGAGTTTGTTTTATTTGGGTTTTTGACCCACTGAAATTGGGGTTCTTGGTGGTAGGTTGGGGATAGGGTGGGTGGGGTGTGCATGTGAATTCTCTGGTGTCTTGACTAATCCCTGGGCCATGGTTCTTGCTTTTCTTCTCAGTAAGAACCCGAACCAGGGCAACCAGCTATGGAACCCAGTCAATAGAGCTTCGCGCACAAGCTTGGTGATTGCAGAGGAAAGGCACCTTGGAGGTAATCATATCACCTATAAACCTTGGGGGACAAAAGGATCAGTGAAGCCCAGTGTCATATATGGGAGACTCTGTCACCACCACATTGCATTTTGTCTGTGGTGTTTGGCAATATTCAGGCTTTCACACTCTCACTATTGTAGTGAAATGGGGTTGAGACCTGGGAGGAGCCCAGGGAATGTTTTAATTGGGAGAATCGGGGGCCCTCAAGCTAACGAGGCTTCTTCAACTATGTCCTTAACAATACTCTGGTTTGGATTGAATTTTCTTCTCAAATCTGATTGAATCCGATTATAATTGGATTGAACTTGCTATTTCTTGGGCTTTCTGCCAAGTAGTGGGCACTTTTATCTCCTTCCCAGAAAGCTGTATGCCAGGCAAGAGGCTCTAGATTGGCAGATCATGGTGAAGGTAGAATCTGGCTTGGCTTTGCTCACCTGCTTTTGTTATTGGGGTGGCCATGGAAAGATGTCAGCCCCTTCTTGCCTTCCCTTCTTACTTTACAAATGCCTCCCCTACCTTGACCTCACTCTCTAGAGACAATAGATTCAGAGTGCACTCCCTCCCTAGGTAAATAAACTAAAAACAAAGCAAAAAACCCAGTACCTTGAGGATCCTTTTTTACAATCTTTCTGCTACAGCCATGTGCTTTTTTCCTTCCTTTACCCTGGAGTGGGTTTGAGTGAGTTTCAAAGGGATGAAGTTGCTAAGGGAGTCATTTAGTTCTGGATAATTTCAGAGAGTTCAGCTCTGGTTATCAGACGCCTACCACCTCTCTTATAGCATTGGAAGAACAGGCCCTAGATTCATCTGGAGTTAGGAAGTGGTCCTGGTCCTGTTTTACAGCATCTGCCCTTGGAGTGGAAGCTCACTGTCTACACCTTCAGAACCATGGGAAATCTACATGAACAGTCATAGGGGACAAAGGCGAAGAGGGTGGTTGCATGTTTCTATGAGCCTTGCCCTCTTTTGCTCCTGTAGAGGAAGGGCACGCTGTGGCAGGATGAAGATGTGGCCTGAGCAGCAAGGCAACATGGGGCTTTGATGGTGCCACGGGCAGGGATGCAGCCAGATCGTGGCTGTGTGGAACTCCAGGCTGCACATGGTGGTGATGCACTGGTGACAGCCACCAGTTTTCTTTCCTTTCCTGGATGCTGGCCATGTGACAGTGATGCACTGGATGGCAGCCTCTGGGTCTCTTTCCTCTCCTGGATGCCAGCCATGTGCCTGCTCTGGAGTCTGAGCTGATGAAGACATGAAACCCCAGCCTGACAGGCTGTGCCCAGCCCAGGGGCCAGAGTCAGCAAGACAATCAGTTACTAGTGTGAGATTTGTCACAAGGCAGGAGTGCATCTGTCACTAGCAATGGCCAAGATAAAACATGGGAGGAGGGGTGGTCAGTGCTGAGTCACGTGAAGCATGCAACAGGTTGTGGTTGGGGCGAATCATGTGGGACACTTGGCCCTTTGAAAATCAATACTGAATAGATAAACCATAACTCTGCTATTTGGGGGTTTGCTAAAATTTGTTTGCAAACCCCCAATCAATGCTCATGGCACTTTCAATCATGTGTAGATATGCATGGAGTGGCCAAAAAAAAAAAAACCCACACACAAAAAAAAGTCCCATGCTCCCTACTGAGGTCAGACAACATAAAGTACTTTAAAGTGCTCTCCATAATTCAGTTGCCATAATGTAAGCAAATGTCTTTCTTCAGGGTCAGTCTAGTGTGTGTGTGTGTGTGTGTGTGTGTGTGTGTGTGTGTGTGTGGGTGTTGTGTACTTTTGTGCTGTTTGTTAGAGATTTTGCTGCTTAAAAGGCCCAAGCACAGCTCTAATGATTGAGAAGGCTGTGACTTGTCTTACAGAGAAACTGTTAGATAAGCTCATTTAGAATTCCAGTGCTGATGGCTGTGAGTCTAATGTTAATGCATGGGTGACAGTTACTAAATAAGTTGTGGACAGAAACACACACCGGGCGATGTTTTAATGGGTTACCAATGTGACCAGATACTCATTAGCAGGAATCTAACTCTGCACTTTGCATTGGTGGTCCAGCATTCACTGGTACATTGTCCACCAGGAATCGGCAGAACATAACCACTGAACGGTGAGAATCTACTCCGGATAGCCACTTCTGTGGCTGCCATAGCATGTGCTGGCCTCCTTCTTGCTCTGGATTGTGTTGTCTTAACACTGGCATTATATTCCAGGTATCCTTTCAGGCTGTAACTGTTCCACCCATTGGGGACTCTGCTTTTGTAAGCAAGAGACATGACTATCTCCTGATGTGGAAAAGGATGGGGCAGTTACCCAGGTAAGAGATCCTAGGTACAGACTCATCCAAAGGCCCAGACTTCAGAGTACAGGCTTCTACTCCCCCATCCACGGCTTCAAATACAATTTCAAGTTTCATTGTCAACTGTTGTTTCTATTCTAACAGGTTAGCGACTGGACTTTCTGGATTTCTAATCCAATTGTTACCTGTATTGATGCAGTCCTGTGCCTTGCATAGGGTAGATTTGAAGATCACTACATAACTTGGAAGATTTCTGAAAAGAGTTCAAGAGCTGTGTGTTCTTCATACTATGTGGTCTCATCAGAAGGCAGGCTTTCTGGATATGTGAGGATTGCAGATAAAGGATGCAGAACCCTCAGGTAACCAAAATCTTGGAATTTCTACTTTTACAATAGAAACTGTACGGAATGCCATCCCTACTCTGAGCAGCACACACCGAGCACACTTTCCTTGCTGGCTAAAGGACACAGTTTATGAGGATGAGTTACATCATTGGGCTGTAAAAGAGTATTATTCATTGGTGGATATAGGGTTCACACCCCAACTCTCCAGTCACAGAATACCTCACAGCCACGGTGGTGTTGCCTCTGCTCTCAGGGCCCATCAAGTTCTGTAGAGTTTCCAGTCTGAACACCTGCCCCTACTGGGCCAGCCAGGCAGCATTTTCCAGGTTGGACCTTTTCTGTTCCCTGGCTGTGTCCAGAAGCTGGTGGACTGCTTCTTCCACATCTCTCCTGCACCCTTCCACTTGCGTAATGTCTGACTTTTACCACCCCACTTCCTCCTGCAATGGGTTAGGGCAGGAGTAGCATGGATTTATAGGAAGAGCCTGTGGACTGCGATGTTCTGGCCCAGCCCTCCATCCTCTAATTTTTTCCCATCAGAATGGATGTGGCTTCCTCATCTAAACCTCATTCTTTTATTCTGTGAAATGGAAATATGAATAGCATCCAGTTCATGGAGTTGTTATGGATACTAAATAGACTAATATATGAGATATGCAGAGTGCAGGCCTTGGCACAGTTTGGGGGAGACTGTTCATGCTATCCTTGGGGTAGTGCATTTCATGGGCTCTAAGACTTTCTGAATATTCTGGAAGGTTGGTCTAATTAAAGTCTAATTGTTGAATGAGTGGGTGTTTCCCCAAACACTTGTGGTTAACTATAACACTGTTTTCCGGATTAATCAAGTTGCCAACTCCAAACCATCACCACTGTGGTCAAACAACAGGAGCCTGTTTCCAGGTTTGACACGGCCCAGGTTAGAGGCAAAACGCTTGGAGAAACTGGCCTTTGGCACAAAGCCAGAAGGGGAAGACAACTGTTTACAGACACCTACCTGGCTGGGCAAAGGGTCCATGAATGTTTCTGGAGCTGCCAGAAGCATGCTGTAACTTTGAGAATGGCCAGGTACTAGAATGCTCCAGAACAGACCAATTGAACGCTGGATCACAGATGCAAAGGTTAAAGAGACTCTATATTCCTGTCCTATGCTAATTAAGTGTTCTGAAAACCACTAAGCATCAGAATTGTGGATTCTGTACATCTATCCTCATTCGATCTAAATGAGATCAAGGTGTGCTATCAAAATGACCTTCCCTTCTGCATCAGCTGCTGCTCCTCTGACACTAGCAGCCTGGTCATTCCTCTGGGAGGAGGGGACAGCAATGGCTGTAAGCTGAAGAAGGGGCCTTTGGAGGTTGGTCCTCATTCTCCATATTGGCTTCCTGGAGGAATTTTACATGCTAAGATTTGGTTCTTAACATCTGAGGAAAGAAAATGGAATTTAAAGTTTTTTTTTTTCTCTTTTGGCTTAGAGCTCTGGACTATGCTAAAACTAAACTCACTCAATGTAGATGAAGCAGGGGCCATAAGAAAACAGGGGCCAAACTGAGACTCCAGGCCCAGGTCTGCTGAGTGCCAGCAAAGTGACTTCTTTTGGCTCGTGCTACTTATCTTAAAAGAAAAGTCAAAGTAAGCATCGCAGTTCCAGCACTGCCAGGGCCACATCCTAGCCCTTGCTTTAAGTACTCTACGTGGACATTCCTGTTCACTCTACAGTGACAACCACCTAAGTACTCTACATGGACATTCCTGCTCACTCTTCAGTGACAACCACCTACGAGTTGACGTTATCTTCATTTTTTGACATGGAAAACGAAGGCTTAAAAAGATGAAGTTGCCAGATACTATGCATCCAGCAAATACAGAGCTATGAAAGCCAAGTTTCTGTCTTCAAAGGGGATAATGAGTTTGATTTTTTTCCAATGCTGTCTGTGAGATTCATGTATAAACAACAGGCCATTTTCTTGTGTTGGAAGATGAAAACGAACCCCCTGTCCCCTCCAGGCAGCTAACTAGGAACTTATATATTACTCCGTCTCCCTTTCATCTTGCTCCCTTATGTGGTCTTACCTTGGCAAAAGGCAAGATGCCATCCAGGGCCATGGGAGGGGTAAGGGAGGAGGAGGAGGATCTTTTCTTCAGTCTATTCTAGACTGAACCCCATGCCCTGGCCATGCCAGTCTGCACTGACAGTAGCCTTCCTTCTTCCTGAACTGCCCCCAGCAGGAAGTCCCTAGGTGTCTGAGAAGACGAGGAAAGCAGCGGGCCTATCCCAGCAGAGCAGAAACAGATCCCCCACCTGCCTCCCGCTATAACAAAGTCAGTAGGTAGGTCCCCTACCAGAGGGCCCGAGGGTCACCAGGAGCCTTTAGGTGTCAGGTCTTGGCATGGCTGACATGAGCTAGTAAAAAAGTAAGTGGCTTTCATGATGAGAAGGGGGCCATCCTTGGGGTCACTTGATGCCCCAACCATGAGCGATTCTTTCATTTCTTACTGCATCTGAGCAAGGGCTAAAAACAGGTAGGTTTATGTCTGTGGCCATCTAGCTAGATTTAAAGGAAGATAAATTATGCCTCATCTGCACCCTCGTAATAGTAACCTGTGGCTTTAAATAGTTACTTGTCCTTTGCATTCAGAAAAGTAAACATCAGTGATGGACTGCTTGGCCTTGAGATGAGAACTAGTATTTGCTTGCATACACACATACACACACACACACACACACACACACACACACACACAGCCACAGAGTTTCTGTTTTTGACAATGCTGGGCCAAAACCCCAACTCTTCCTTCTCTGGCATTCACTAAATAAAAGTGATTTAAAGTCTGTATTATTTTCCTGCAGATGGTAACTGGTTCATGACATCAGACCAGTGTTTATTTTCAAGGACACTGTGAGTGTTGTGTGTGTGCGTGAATGTTCTTATAGATTCCTGTTGGGAAGTCCTTCCCACTCAGGGGTCTTTCTGTGCTGCTACTCAGGGTGAGTGAGCAGGGCACAAGGGGAAGCAGCTTGACTATCTGAGTAGCTACTAGAACTGGGAAGGGATTGGTGTGTATGTTGGGATAGGGGTGGGACTGGGTGTTTCTTCTCCAGGGTCCACCACTCATACCAATGAGTTAATTCCTATGCAGTCGACCCTCTTCACAGTCAGGCCAAAGACCTTCACTTTGAGGCTCCTGAGTGACCCTTTATCCCAGGTTCATCAGAGCCAGAAACAGAATAGTGCCAGGAATAGCAGAAAGAATAAATAAAAATGAATGGAAAAATCAAGACCATTTCCTTGGTCCTGCTTACCCGCTAAGAACACCGAGAACCAAGTTAAGTACAAAAAATGACCCTATGATGATTAGTGTAACAAAATAGATCCAGGGCCAGTCCCTTCCTACGGCATCATTGACCTGGAAGAATGGAATGATAGTTAGTCAGGCACACACAGCAACCGAGCACGGCCAAGCGCCAGCCACCGGCTCCCCAGCGCTGAGCTGAGCAGCGTGGGACCCGGGATCCTCAATGTGCAACTCAGAAGGCCCAAACTGCCTGTGCAGCCAATGGTCAGAATCTGTGCTTGCATGGAGAATTTTTTTTCCCGTTTTCCTGGGCCTGTTAGGGTCCTGTCTCTGAGGATTCTGCATTGAACGCAGTGGAACCTGGGACCTTGCTCGGCTGCATGGTAAAGAGGACACAGAAATGGTCAGCTTACCCGCTCAAAACACCGAGAACCAGATTTAGAACGAAAAAGGATCCAAAGATGACCAGACTGACAAAATACACCCAGGGCAACTCATAGCCCATAGCGTCCTGCATCTGGAAAGACGAAGGAGAGTTAGGACAGGGCAAGCAGAGTAGAGGGCGAGACAGACAGGCGGGAGTGTGAACAGATCAACAGGAAGCAAAGGGGCTCGCTCAACTGGGGTTTGGGTAAGTGGATCAGCACCTGCCATTATACTTGGCTTCCTCCCTATTTAAATTCCTTCCCTACAACCTTGACCTGAGCTACAAGGACCTGATCAGTGTCGCTCAGGAGTGTGTGTGGGGGTCTTGCCTGACTTCTCCTGCTGCTTAGTTTTCTGGAAAACAAACAGAATCCTAGTGCCTTTCTACTCACTTGTCTAGGAAGGTGGGCCACCTCACAAAACATGTTTTTTCCATCCTAGAACGGGCTTAGTTCATCTGGGCTTCTATAGCTATTACATCTTAAGCTGTAGCCTAAGGAGGGCTGACCTTGGGTTGTGAAAAGGGCTGGCTTTACTGACAGGGCTAGAGACTGAAGCTTACGTCACATGAGAAAGTGATCTCCATTCCTGGGGTCTGGGCAATAGAGTGCTCAACGTGAGTGTGTCACAGGCAGATGGGCAGGTAAGGCAGTGCCCTCCCTGGCTTATGTGTCAGAGAAGGGGCCTTATCCCTGACACCACAGCCTAGACGGAGGGGGTGCCGAGCCTGTGACTGATGGGTTGATGGAGACCCTCTGTGGCAAGTCACAAACGCCTGCAGGAAATGGAGGCAATGGGAGACAGAACTGCCTCCTTCGGGCTGTGGGGAGTTTGCTGTGAGAATCTCTTCAGAACTCCCTGTCCCCTGACTTCCACCCTCTCCCTACAGCTCCTGGATGTGGCTGTCAGATGTCCCCTATACTTCAGGCAGGAGGCAGTGTGAAGACAAGTCACAGGACAGTGTTTCTATCAAAGAGGAAATATATTCTGATTCAGCTTCTCAAATCTGTTTCTTCTGATGTTTTCCAAGCACGAAACACACTTTACTTTTGGTTTACTAACAATGAATCCCAAGGTTGTCTTTTGTGAACCTAGCTTATAAAACTCTAGATTCTAAGGTACCAGCTTCCTGATTTATTTCTATCAGCAGCTCTCAAGATGTGGCCTCAAGTGCCAGTATCATTAGGTGCTCCTTTAGAAATGCTCACATTCCATCTCAACCTGGAGCTCTGGGGGGTGGTAACCGCTCTTACAAGTACTATAGATGAACTGGACGTGGGCTACACCACAAAGCTTGGGGACCCCCTGACACATATCATTGTCTTCATGCTACCAGTTGTATCTGGAAGGACGTAATAATGCATCCCCACGACACTGGGCCCTAAGATGGGGACAATTTGGGACAATCAACCAAAGCAGACTCCTAGGTCTTGTCTCACAGCCTAGGAGTTCAGTGTAGTTAGCACATCTGCATTAGGACTGTAGTCCTGGTCATCCCAAGTGATCTTCCCAAGGAATATGAAACACTGTTAACGGCTGCCTCCATTTGATTTCTATCTTTGCGTCTCAATTGAGTTATAGATGTGTTCTCTGTGTGATAGGACCAACAATGGAGAAGCATTCCGAGACCTGCCTGCTCTGCATGGCTTGTTGTTTTATGGTTAGAGACGTTGTGTAAAAAAAATGTGCCTGTGGCTTACTGGCTTGAGCTGAGTCAGTGCAGAAGAGTTCCCCACATATGTCCACATGGCAGTGAAATTCAATTTAACAATTTGTTGAGCATCCCTATTCCCACATGCCTTGCTCTATTTTTCCATAGCATTTATCACTTTATGACTGTGTGGGCTCCTTACATGTCACAACAGGCATTTGTTGTCTTAAAAGCCATAGTGTAGGTTTCATGGGCACAGGTGGCTTTGGTTTGTTTAGGTCACTGGTGAATCCCAAGTGCCAGGAGCAGTGCCTTGCATTGGATAGGTACTCAGGGAATGTTTGAGTGGGATCAATGAACGTAAGACCTGCTAGGCTCTGTACTGTACATAGGAAGTCCCCGGTAGCTGGGGACATAGACATAAAAAGCGACGATAAAGACAGGGTAGGAGATGCAATTGGAGGAGGAAATAAGAAGTGGAGAGCAGGAAGTACAGAAGGACAGCTAGATGAGGCTGTAGAAGCAAGGGCCAGATCAGACAGGGCTGTGTGGACTTTGCAAGATGGCGTCACTGACAGCTATGGAACAGGAAGTCAGGGGGTCCAAATGACCCAGTGGTAGCAGTAGGTAGCCCCCCCTTCCGGACTTGGCCATTGTTAGAAGCATATACACAGCCTTCCTAGCTATGGAATGGTTGTGAAGGAAAGAGTGAAATATCCAGGAAAGCAGCAGTGACTAGCTGAGGTGGGACAGTCGGTCTTTATATGGTTCTGTTCCCAGGGCTCTTCCTTGACCAGGAGGAATCGCTGAGCTAAGAGTACCAAGGCCACCGGACTAGAGGAACTAGAAGTTCAGTGTGTCTCCGTGCTAGGAAGAGGAAAGCAAACGAGTCAACACAAGCAGGAAAGACGAGACAGAACTAGGGAGAGAAAGGCAAGGGAGCCATGGACCCAGCCGTAAGGCTTTATCACGCCAGGGCCTGCACATGCCACTGTAACATGGGGCCTGCACAGGAGCCTGGTGCCTGCTCACTAGCATCCACCTTTACTCACCAAGTGCTTGCTGTGAGATGTGCAAGATGTGGGTGTTGCATTGGACTAGAGGCTGTAGTAAAAGAACTGGGTGGAGAGCACCCCCAGCTGGGGTGCTAGGCACCTGCCAAGAGAGGGATTCTAGGGAAAGCTGGGCCTTGGGTGATGAGCATTTTTTGTGGTTAACATAAGTCAGAAGCAGGCTCTCCCTTTTCCTCTAAGTGCTTCTGTTGTGTTTAGGGAGAGCAGGCAAAGCTGGTGGGAATAATAGACTCGAATCAGAAAACAGACAGACACAGCACTCTAGGCACCACGCCGCAGTGTGCCACCCCTCTGGAGCGCATACCTCTGGCTTCCTTCCCCCTAAACTGCCCTGCCGGCAGCACAAGCCCCCTTTTGCCTTAGAGGTTCCCTTGGGTTCTTGATTAGTCTGGGGGGTCCTTTCCTCTGGGTCACACAAGACTTAGCTTCATCAAGGACTGCAGTGGAAAGCACCACACATTTTCGGGCAGACTGGGTGGAGAGCACACATTTGTGGCTGTCTCTTAAGAAGGGTGATGCTGGAGTGACATGGTCCTTATCTCCGATCTGGGAACAGATCTACTCAGAAAAAAAGAAAAATAAAGCCACACCGAAAAAGGACCCAGCCTGCTGTCACCCTTATCTGGAGAGGCAAACAGGGCAGGTCTTGGGTCTGCCACAGAGAGAGCTCTGTAGCTTTTCTAAAGAAGGTGAGAGATGTCTTGGCTCCTTGTGCCCAAGGTCAAGCAGTTTTCAGGAGCCCCAGACCTGAGACTACGGATGGCTCTTCCTTTGCTGAAACAGACACAGAGCCTTTCTTTCAGCCCAGACCAAACCAAGGGAATACTAGAGGGAAAATACCAAAGTCCTTTCTGAAACTAGCATCTAACTGGTGAAAGACCCATCTTGTACCTTCCTTAGGGGAAAAAAATAGGAGAGGCAATACTTCCACCATGAACTTCTCAAAGCCT